AGTGTAGACTAACCGGACACGTATGAATTAAGCTCGAGTTTGAAATTATTTGTGAAGTCACTGTTTGTGTTCATTTCTTACCGAACGAGCCGAACAAGAGCTGTTCACGAACAACGAGCCACGGCCCGGGCGCCCCACGGGAGTTGAACCGCGGTCTGCGTTTAATGTAAAAAACTCAAACGCGACAAACATCGTTTTCAAAAACACGCAAACCAAACGATTAAGTGGCTTTTTAAAAAATGTCTGCGCACTTATAAATTGCCCCAAACAGACCCTTAGTATTGATAGCCTTAACTGTGAAAAATTAAAATTTGGCAGGCTTGTCCAGGCCTGAGCTTATTTTGACTTAGTCGATGTCCGGAAGAACCAAACCAGCCCGCACACACAAGTCCTGACTCAAAAAAAGATTTTTTTTCTCTTTGGTGACGATTTACATACATACCACATAATTTTTGTGTGATCATAGATCTCACGTCTATATTTTAATATTTACTTCTATAACATCACATAAAAATATCACTAATATCTGGATAATATTTTAGACTGAAAGGCGTTACTTTTGTTGTGCAAGGAATATTTAAATTGTCACCATAAACTGTTTACTAGCCTCAAAATAATTTTCATTGAGGCATTTCTGTTACGATATAACTCATATACCATATAGGGACAGACGTTGGATCGAAGCGGAGCGGAGCGGAAGAATCCGTCCAAATTGAGAAGTTACGTGGGTTGGGGTGCGGGGGCAAAGCTCCGCGGTATGGTACAGAGGTAATGTTGTAATTACATATTGTGCCTAGGGTTTACTCATGGAGTCATAAATAGCCCTGTTAGTAACCCCAAGAGGTATCCCTGATTTCTGTAAATCCCTTTCTGAATAGTAAAAGGAAGTCGTCACTCTGCTCCCGATGACGTAGACATCTTTGTCGAACCTCGTTAAATCTCCGTATTTTTCTGAATTTGTGTCGTTCTTATTTTTTTTCGCCTTAATTTTCTCAACAATTTCCATACCAAAAGTTCTCAAGAAGAATTTTTTATTAATTTCTATCAATCACAGAGAAAATGTGAATTTGCCACAAAAGAATAGCGACGTTTACATACATACCACCCAATTACTATGCATTTACACGTCTGACAGCTAGAATTTGCTTTTCTACATTCATGCAACCCAATTATTTCATACATATGCAAGGTGGTATGTATGTAAAAAATGAAATTTATGTTTTAGTTATGTGAATACATGGGAATTGATATGGATTTATGTCTAGTCTCCAAGTAATTAGTAACTACTAATGTGGAAACAAAATGCATAAAAGAGACGTGTAACTTTAGAAAAGAAGATGAGGTGTTCGGTTGATTGCTGTATAGAGTTCCTGTCCCAAGGAGTGTAGACTAACCGGACACGTATGAATTAAGCTCGAGTTTGAAATTATTTGTGAAGTCACTGTTTGTGTTCATTTCTTACCGAACGAGCCGAACAAGAGCTGTTCACGAACAACGAGCCAGTTTGACATCCTTAATATTAATATATAAATATAAATAATATATTATATTAATTATATAACTTATATTATATAAATATATAATATCTATATTATAACCCATTGGTAATTAAATTTCCTTGAAAAATTAGTATGTTACGAGATTACCGACAAGTGAATTATCTCGGACTTATAAACCATCACAAAGCCATCAAAATCTAACTAACGGTCACTTTTATACCATTTTTCAACAACATAAAATAGTCAGAAATTGACTTAATTAATATAGGGGATTGTCAACCCTTTCCCCTGTTACCTTAAAATTCAATATATTTGTATTTATGCCCGGTTCAAAATAAACGTTTAAGCCAAATTGATGTTTCCCATTCCTTAAACCTTATAGTTAAACAATTACATCCCAATCAGGTTCTGGCCAAATCAAGTTTAATCTTCAATATTTAATCAGCATTTTATTTGACATTATTATTGATTCGCCACCAACAAATTTTCATCATCTGACACAAATCTCGAGACAATATTTTGAACAAAATATATTCAAATCTTGATAAAAAACCATCTAGAGCTCCAATTTCAATAAACTTATAGTCAAACTGACAGACACGATGAGAAGGATCCAATGATATCAATGTTAGTCCAATCCGAGTCAAATCAAGCCCTAATCAAGCGATTAAATCATTCTTGGAAGATTTACAGACACATTTGAAAGATCAAACGAATGTCGAATTTAGCGAGTTCATAGTCGAATCGTGCGTCTCGACAAAATAAATCCAGCGAAACCAATATTGCTCAATTCCGACATCATTAAGACACTCAAATGTCCATCAAACACCATCCAATCGAGGGAAGCTCTCTGAACCGTCCGATCAAAATGGTTCTTATTCCTGCATTAATTGCACCCATAACACTATAAATAGAGTCACACCCCTCACATGATAAAAGAAAACTTGAGAGAGAACTTGAGGCTTTGAGAAGAAACTTAAGTCCGACATTATCCATGCTATCGCATGCCGCCGTCGACCACCACCGATCACCACTGGCCTTCGTCGATTACCGCCGGCTGTCATCAACTGTCGTCAACCACCGCTAACCAGAGCAGTCAGTCGACGTTGTATCTTGAAAAATCTAGTAACCCTTCCACGTCAGTGAGACAAAGGGTTTCTGTAATCATCAACTTACAGTGAATTTTTTTTAACTGGAAAGACGCCGTAAGTTTTTTCTTTTACGGGTTTTCTACTTAAAAACTTATAGTGTCATCACATGTTGATTCACTTTCATCAGAGTGTGTGATGAATTCTCGTGCAACGCTAAGATGATAATCTATTACTCTACCGCCGTGAATTTTTTAGCACGCATCAATTATCAATTAATAATCAACACAAACAATTTGAACGCCATGGATGGCTTGCAAAACTCGAATAGAAACGCAGAGTCATTACAGAATACATAGGTATGGAAATTATAATGAAATGAAAAAATGGTATTCATTTTTCTTCATGTTATAGTTTTCCAACGAGTTTCCTACGATTATCTAACTATTTTCTGCTCATTTTATCATACGATCTAGTAGTTATAGACTCTTGGTTAATAAATCGACGAATAATTATGTAACTAACTAATGGTCTTACAATGTACTACCGATAAAATGATGGCTACTTTCATTGATCAATCAACATACGAACTAACTCTAGGCCAACTGACAAACTATTTTAATCCAACAGTTCTCCATCGACTTGAGACTATCGGTGTCTTTCTGATGGCCAGCCAGAGAATTACAAATGAATATTTTTTTGATAAGACCGTCATTTATATTACCGATAGTGACCGATGGCTTATCCACAGTTTTGCTTTTAGCAGGCACTGACAGGTATGACTCATTGATAACCCATTGGTAATTAAATTTCCTTGAAAAATTAGTATGTTACGAGATTACCGACAAGTGAATTATCTCGGACTTATAAACCATCACAAAGCCATCAAAATCTAACTAACGGTCACTTTTATACCATTTTTCAACAACATAAAATAGTCAGAAATTGACTTAATTAATATAGGGGATTGTCAACCCTTTCCCCTGTTACCTTAAAATTCAATATATTTGTATTTATGCCCGGTTCAAAATAAACGTTTAAGCCAAATTGATGTTTCCCATTCCTTAAACCTTATAGTTAAACAATTACATCCCAATCAGGTTCTGGCCAAATCAAGTTTAATCTTCAATATTTAATCAGCATTTTATTTGACATTATTATTGATTCGCCACCAACAAATTTTCATCATCTGACACAAATCTCGAGACAATATTTTGAACAAAATATATTCAAATCTTGATAAAAAACCATCTAGAGCTCCAATTTCAATAAACTTATAGTCAAACTGACAGACACGATGAGAAGGATCCAATGATATCAATGTTAGTCCAATCCGAGTCAAATCAAGCCCTAATCAAGCGATTAAATCATTCTTGGAAGATTTACAGACACATTTAAAAGATCAAACGAATGTCGAATTCAGCGATTTTGTAATTGAATCGAGCGTCTCGACAAAATGAATCCAGCGAGCCCAAGATTGCTCAATTCCGACATCATTAAGACACTCAAATGTCTATCAAACGCCATCTAATCGAGGGAAGCTCTCCGGACCGTCCGATCAAAATGGTTCATATTCCTACATTAATTACACTCAAAATACTATAAATAAAGTCCCACCCATCACATGAGGGAAGAAGGTTTGAGAAAGAATTTGAGTCTTTGAGACTGAACTTAAGTCCAACATTATCCTTATCATCGCAGACCGCCGTCGACCACCACCGATCACTACTGACCTTCATCGATTATCACCGACCATCATCAACTGTCGTCGACCACCGCTAACCAGAACCGTCAGTCGATGTTGTATCTTGGAAATTCTAGTAGCTTGCCCACGTCTGTGAGACAAAGGGTCTCTGTAATCATCAACTTATAGTGAATTTTTTTTGACTGGTTCAGACCCCGTAAGTTTTTTACTTTACAAGTTTTCCACGTAAAATGAATCATCGTGCAATGCTAAGATGATAATCCATTACTCTACCACCGTGATTTTTTTAGCAAGCATCAATTATCAATTAAAAATTAACACAAACAATCTGAATGCCATGGTTGGCTTGCAAAACTTGAATAGAAACGCAGAGTCATTACAGAATACATTATTTCTCCATGAAATGATCACAAAACAGAACCAGACTCCAAAGACAACACACAAAACACATCACCTTCCCTGCAGCTTCGAATCGAAGCTTCTTGGGGCTGCACTCTCAGAACTCAAGCCGCCGAAAACAGGGCACGAAAAGTACGAATGACTTCAGGCATCTTATCATTGTCCGGCAGCACCACCTTTGCCGCATCATGAGCGCTGAAATTCTGCGCCCAAGTTGAGAGATTGGGGAAAGTGTTATCGCTCAGAATCTGGATGCCGTCCAATTTCTGCAGTGCTCTTATCCAGGGCAAGAAGCAGCCCAGGGCTATGTCGATGAAGCCGATATCATCGCCTCCGAAGAATGGTTTGCCTTTACTTGCGGTCTCAAAAGCTTTCTCTAGTGGATGAAGAGCCGCCGCCGCTTCTGCTGCCGCTTTCTCCTTGTCTTCCTGCGCTGTTGCGGCCACGTGATTTCTTAGGGAAGGGTACAGCTGAAGGCACGTGAAGATCAAACGATTAGGGCAAGTTAGGGCTTTGAATTTAGCTCCAAGTTAGTTAATCTATTGAAATTAAGTTGAATTTTGTATTGGATTTGGATGGGATCCAAATAAATGAGTCAAGTTAAAAGAGTTAAAAATTTAAATGAAAAATTTTTCGAGCCAAACTCCAATTGGCTCAAAATCATATTTTTTAATAGCCCGAGTCATGTTAGGACCGCAAATTTAGGTCAAGAATCGCTGATCATTCGAAAATTAATTTAATTTTTGACTCAGATCTAAATAAATGAGCCAAGCTATCACCCAAAATTTGTTATCGATTTTTGAGTCTATTTTGAATTATCTAAAAAATGGATTGTTAATGGAAAAAAAAATGAAACATTTTTCTTATTTTGAAATATATACTTATTTAAATTAGATTTCACGTATTTCTACATTTTATTTTAAAACTCAATTAACTTAAATTTAACAAAAATTCCGAACGTTTTATACATTTAATAAAAAAAATTAACATGTTTTATGTTGCCAAATAAATTTTGGTTTAAAAGAAAAAACTTGAACAAATAAAAAAATAAATATCAAAAGTGGTTTCCAAAGGCCGCTTTAATTTTCATTATTTGTTATATTTCTAATTATCGAATCCTATTTTAATTATTTTCTTAATACTAATAAATAATTAATAATGAAAATAATAGTAATAAATAGTTATTAAAGAATTGGTGAGAGAGAGAAGAGAGAGAGAAATGCTTATTATGTACGGACATCGCACATAAATTTGTGTGTGGTATTCCATCACAACCATAAAAATACATCTTTTTGACGGCTCAGATCGGATACCGAAAGCAAATTTTCCCTCCTCCCTCCTCTCTCCTCTCCGACCATACCTTGTCGTCAACATAGTAAACCCAGAAACGAGCCTCTGCGCGTTCGACATGGCCGGCCGGAAGAATTGGTTTTCCCTGCAACCGCCATTCTTCGTCTATGTACTGCACAATGATCATGGATTCGCATACTGGATGGCCCCTGTGGAAAAGAACCGGGCTCTTCTTGTATATTGGGTTGCTTTTCAGAAGCAGCTCGCTTTTGTCCCACGTGTTCTGCTCCTCCAGGTTCTGGTACTCCACTCCTTTCAGGCTGAGCGCAAGCTTCACCCTCATCGCGAACGGGCTGTACCATAATCCTATCAACTGCACCTCCTCTTCTCTCACGTCTGCCATGGCTGCTTACCCTAAACATAGCTGGTTAGTGCTTATGTAGAGCTGAAGGAAAAGGATAATTGCATTCATGGCATCTTAAACATTCTTATTTGCAAAAGCTGAAAGAGGGTGATAGATTTGTAAATAGCAATATTTTGGGTGATATGTATGTAAAAATGCTTCAAAATCAATATTTTGATATAAGTTTTTGTTTCTTTTGAATGTGGCATTTTCTATAGTTTTTAAGTTATGAGAAATATCAGTGGATAGAATTTTTTATATATACAACACTTCAAATATTGTTATTTACAAAACTAATAGTCTTGTATTTTTTTTTGAACTACCAATGAACTACCAAACCAATGTACTTTAAACAGTAAAAGTTAGTTGAAATCAAAACTTATATATTTTTATTAATTTGCTAGTCTATGTAATATGAAATAACAATTAAATAATAGATGTAATTTGAACCATTATCTTTGATAAATTTGACTAATGATTATTTAATTTTAAAATATTTTGAAATCATTCTTATCATTGATTTTCTTCATGTTAAAGAAAATATATAAATCTTATAGTTCCTTTAAAATTACAGTATTGATGTTTAATGGGTTGAAAGAATGATAAATCTCTTCGTAGGTGTAGTCTCATGAATAAGAAAACTTTGTTCTGAATATGCCATACTTGACTTGTTGGACAGAACAAAACAAACATTGTTTATCACGACCATAGGAATTTGTCTTACTCATATGAACCATTGGTCATACGCCTCCAACAAATTTTCATCATCCGACACGAAGCTCAAGGTATGACACAAATCTCGAGATAATATTTTGAACAAAAAAATATTCAAATCTTGATAAAAAGTCATCCTGATCTCTGATTTCAACAAACTTATAGTCAAACAGAGCGACTCGATGAGATGGACCCAATGATATAAGAGTTAGTTCAATGTGATTAAATCAAGCTCAAATCAAGTCATTAAACCCATCTTGAAAGATATTCAAACACATTTGGAAAGTCAAACTGATGTCAAATCTAGCAAGTTCATAGTAGAATCGAGCGTCTCAACAAGACGAATCCAATGAGTCCAAGATTGCTCAATTCCGACATCATTAAGGCACTCAAATGATCATCAAATGTCATTTGATTGAAGGAAGCTCTCTGAACCGTCTGATCAAAATTGTTCATATTCCTGTATTAATTGCACTCACAAAACTATAAATAGAGTCTCATCCCTCTCATGAGTGGGGAACTTGAGCCTTGAGAGAGAACTTGAAGCTTTGAGAAGCTTAAGTCCAACACCACCTGTCATCGTCGATCGTTATTGACCATCGTCGACCGCCTTCAATTATTGTCAACTGCATCGACCACCGTTGACTGTCATCAACCACTGTCGATCGCTGTTGACCACTACCGATTGTTGTCGACACCTGCCGATACTGTTGACAACCACTAACCACCGTCGATCACCACAAATCATTGTCAACCACCACCAACCAAACATCGTCTGTCGACGTTGTAACTTGAAAAAATCTAGTAACCATTTCCTGTATGTGGGACAAGGAATCTCTCTAATCATCAACCTTTAGTGGATATCTACAACTAGGTCAGGCCCTGTGATTTTTCATTTTACGGGCATTTCACATAAAAACTTCTGGTGTCATCACTGATTATTTTCTTTCATCTGAGTGTGTTGAATTCTCGTGCAACACTAAGACGATAATCCATTACTTTACCGTCGCAAATTTTCTAGCATGCATCAGTTTGGCGCTGTCTATGGGAAGCTTTCAATCCCAACACTGAAATACTTATGTGGTTTACTACATGGACACCAGACATAATATTCATGCTAATGGAGCATCTCGCTCCAATGCCCATCATTCCAGCGAGCAGTCACGAAGCTAGGGGCGGCATGGTTCTTCATCATAGTTCTAACTAAAGATGTATAACTCATCCTAGTTGATGATTACAGATTCCCAAAAAAGAAGATTACAACTAGGATGATCAAGATGTATAGCTAATCATTACACTATGATGATCAAGGTTTCCATACAAGCGGCATGGTTTCAAAAAAAGAAGATAAAAGGATTCACTCTTGATCATTACACTATGATAAAGGTAATAGAACTCTTGATCATTACACTATGATGATCTCAGTGCATAGACTATGTGTTTACAAAGGGGTAAAGGCTCAGTAGGGCTTAACACAACATAACATGTTAATCTTTTTATCCATGCCTAGGCATGTTAAGTCCATTAAGTACTTGATTTCACATATTGTGCATTTTTATTCATTGCATGGCTCGCCTTGTTGGGGGTAAGCCGACATTCCTTTTTCATATAGGTAATGGTTGTGAGTCGGCGTATTAATGCTGAGACTTTTGTTAAACCCTATAAATGTCTTGTAGTTATAATAAAAAACTGAGCAAGGTCTACAAGCTTGCATATGTGGATAATGTGAAATATTTTATTACTACCAGTTCTTATATGATCATTCGAAGAATAAAGAAAAAAATTAACAATTTTCATGTGCATGATAGGTATAAGTCCATTTGGGTACCTAAGATAGGGTAAGCCTAACCCACACACACACACACAAACAGAGCTATATAT